GTTTATTGATGAAAATCACTGAAACTGGTACTACTATAGCAATACTAGCTTGCCATATTTGTTCTTGTGCAGATACTTGCCGTTTCTTAATTCAAAATATATACAGCATTTGACAGCATAGTAGTTGCACCTACAGTATGGGAGGGCATAGTCACGCCCATTTTTTCTTATCATTATTATCATCTGTAAGTGCATCTTCTATGTTGTCAAGTACGATAAATGATGGCAGCAAATTACCTCTTCCTAAAATAGATCAAAATATGCTTGACATTTACAGGTCACCATAATCAGTTAAGTCATAACAAATATTCCAGTGGTGACCTGACTATCATAATAGCACTTTTAGTTCTACTAAGCGGTAAAATCACATTTTAAAACTTAATGTTGAATATATTGACATTGATACATTGACAACATATCTTATATTCACATCATATTAGACGTCACGGTTAGGACTGCTAAAACTTCGTGCGCACACGTACGAAAATATGAGGTTAAATTCTCCAGAGAAAAGCGAATCTACCAATGAAGTTTCAAGGCTTCATTCGCAGATCTTTCTTTTAAAGATGCATTCTTTTAAGGATGGATCTGCATCCAATTGGAAATCTGTACGCAATGTTGCCTGTCTGTTGTCTCGCTGGATTCTCCTCACTGCTTATACTGCTTGATTCCGCGAGGCCTCTCTCTTCCGGACCTCCTGGCTCCAACGGACAAGGCCCTTGGCACACTCCTTCCGGTTGCCCATGGACTGTGTGCATATATATCTTCAGCGTAGGAGAAAGAGTGGCCCAATGCCCTAGTGTCAAGCAGCATTCTTTCTAGAGAACATAAACTAGGACTCGTTCCCATACACGAGTGCTAATATTTCCACATACTACCGTGGTGATAAGCTTCCGTTGTGTCGAACTCTTTCAACAGCCCTGCGGTTCGTCCAATCCCCCCGTCAAAATCGGAGTCCAGACAGAGGTTGTCAGTGATTAGTAAATCAAGGTAATGGTTAATGGTTCCAAAGCAAATAAAATACGACACCAAGGGTGTAGCTGTGAAAAGGTAAAGACGGGGATTACTTGATAATCAAATGTGCTATGTGTCAAAAGTCGTTCAGCAGGAAGAAAGAAGCAGAGAAGGGTGAGGGTAGAGAGGGTGAGTAAATGGGTGAAGGTAACAATGGCTTTAAGAGTGGCATCTGCTTTTTGAGAATCTGATCATGAAAGCTTGGAAAGCATGATCAAAATGTAGCTCCGTGTCATTCGATAATATCCTAGACCTGATAAACATTTACAAACAGAATTTGAAGGGGTTGCCAAATACCCACATTATAATTTTCTGTTGACAGTGACCGTTGTCCTTAGAGAAGTTCCGTTATGGAATTATATAATGGTATGATGAAGAAAGCAAGTCATCCAATGCAATCTTCATCCATACCAACCACTGATTAGCCAGTCGTAGAAGTGGGAGGTAAAAACGATTTTCTCAAAATACTGGACTGGTTCTCCCAAAGGAACATCCGAAAACCTTTCTGCGACCACACCAATGACAGCAACCAGACTTAAAAACTTACTCGAAATTTTTTGTGTCGGTGAAACTGATAATTGCACAATTCACAAGCTGGAGCTTTTTTGGATCGTTTCACTTCTAACCATTTCTGAAAAAATATAAGTCAAGCATAATTAGAAATACTTTCTACATAACTACAGTATTATAATGCACCACTTTAATCATCACTGAGGCAAATATTTTCTTCTGTTAATGTGATGACCTTGGACTTTGTTAGCTCCGCGTCGTCTGTCTGCTTGAAACTATATCAAATGCTCTTGAAAAAAATATAGATCAACTTACATTAAGGCAGCCTTGGTGGATGAACTGCATGGTTCCTGCACATCTACATGGAGAAATGAGCAAATCTAAGCCTTCTCCTTGTGGGTGATGGCAGATGCGGCACATTGGCATGGACGCTGTTGATGATGATGCTGATAACACTCCTGAAGGAAAAAAAGTTTATCTTTAAGGAAGCACTCACATACACAAAGGGTTTGTGGAGGTGGAAGCAGAGGGACGAGGCGAGAGGAAGAGGGAGTGGTGTGGAGTGAGGCTGCAATGCGGGGGGGGGGGGGGGGGGGATGATGAGTAGTGATAAAGGAGGGGAAGAAAATGAAGAATAGAAGGTGGACGAAGAGATGTTGGAAGGGAGGAAGGATGTGTTCTGAAGGTTGAGTTCATGCTTGGGTGGATAATTTGGAATGGATCAAAGCTGACAGCAGGCACCGAGGAGGGGCAGTTGAAGCAGGGGTCGGCGCCATGGTCAGAGGAGAGGCAGGGGTCGGAGCCATGGTCAGAGGAGAGGCAGATGTCGGAGCCATGGTCAGAGGAGAGGCAGGGCCGGAGCCATGGTCAGAGGAGAGGCAGAGTCGGAGCCATGGTCAGAGGAGAGGCAGAGGTCGGAGCCATGGTCAGAGGAGAGGCAGGGTCGGAGCCATGTCAGAGGAGAGGCAGGGGTCGG